CCGCTCACCTATCGATTGATCACCGATGGGTGGTAAAAACGGCTCTACCACCCGCCCGCACCCGAGACGGCGTCCTCCCCCACATTAATACATTGGACCGAAACTACTCCACGATACACAGTGGTTGAGGTACTACACATCAACTAGGGTGCTAAGTATTCTTAGCTTCTCGGATACCATAGTCGGTCTAGACTGTGGCAACTGGCCAACTTAGTATCCACGCGCAGGGAAGCTAAGGATGCAATACCTAGGTAACTTGGCTAGTGAGCTTGTAGTAACCGATAGCCGGAATGAGCCTGCGCCTTAAAGTGGAGCTGAGGAGCTACGCCTGCACTGCCATTGGAGGCGGGCAGTGTAGGTGGATCGCAGTCCTGAGCGCGTAGAGGTACGCGCGGTAAGGTGAGCGGCTTGAGGTTGCAACCGTCACTAGAGTTAGTCCCAAAGGTTGGGCGCACTAGGGAGAGGCCTCTCAACCCTACTACTATGCGGGTTGGCCACCCGATGAGGTAGCATTAGGGTAGGTGTTAAAAGAGAGTAGGAGGCACGGCTTACGGCCACTACATCTCGCCGGAGTGGGTTCGCTTGCTCGACGACGGCTTAACGCTTATTGGAAAAGCGTTAACTATAGCCGTTGGGAAGACACCCTTCCCCCCTAGAGGTGACTACAAGCAAGTTAGTCCAACCACGTATGCGATAGTTCAATCCCACTGTGTGAGAACATCAAGGAGCCAACACAAACCAATGTAATACAACATTACTACAGCCTGGAAACAGGAAAAACTTCCGCGACCCGGTTGGGCAGAATAAGAAAGAGGAAAAACAACCTGAGACACAACGGATCAGAAGTAGGCATTTCGCACAAAACTATCCACAATACCACCACACTGACAGCTACTCTCTACTACAGCGGAACTATCCGCAACGTTTGCATAACACTACTCCATCAGAACTTCTTCACATACATATTTGTAACCGCCTCGTAAGCGAAGGTTGAGTGCACTTCAGTTCTAACACATTTTCATTTTCATTATTCCATTTACTATAATACATAGTACCAGATTACTTGCACAATTTACAACAACTCGTATCGTCGTTGCCGCGTAATCGCTTACGCTCCATTAGCACGCCATTGCACAAGTCCTTTCAGGTTATTCCCCGAATTTGGGATTCAGATAGCGAAATATCTGTGCAATCATGGATCCATGTGTCCATATTAAAGGTCAGCTCACAAAAGCCGTCAACGTCTTAAAGACCAAGATCTCTTCGGCTGAACAGGCAATGACCGACGACTACGTCAACGATACGAAGTACGGACAAGACCTCACGATTATCGAAAAGAAAAAGAAAGAGGTACTTGAGTCGACCATAGCCGTAATTCATTCGATGGATAACCTGAAAGACAAATGGCGTCGTGCTGAGGAACACGTGAGCAAAGCCAACGAAGACGAGACACAATTCGCCTTACTCCAGCAATTTAGCGATCACTGGGAGAACATCGAAGCAGACAATGCGATGATAAAGGGAAAAACGCTAGTAAGGTCACTAGAAAAACTACTACAAGACCTAGAACGCGTTCCCCCACGTCGCCCAGGGATCGACATTAATACAGGTACTACAACCCCTATCACAGAACAATATGTTCACATACCCAAACTAGAGCTTCCCGATTTCTATGGAGAACCTAGCGCATTCCCCGAGTTCTGGGAACTTTATCTAGCCGCAATTCATAATAATACAAGCGTGCCAACCGCGATGAAGTTCCTGCATCTCAAAAGCAAACTAAAAGGAAGAGCTAGAGACATCATCGCGTCCATAGAGTTGTCCGCTGACAACTATCAGGAAGCCATAAATCTATTACATAATACATACAACCGCCCAGATGTCCTCCGCAATAAACTCTTTGAACAACTTGAGGCCATTGCTCCAGCAAACGAAACGCCCCTTGCCCAACGTACTACATTGTGCAAGATAAAGTCCCTTTGGGTTCAACTTAAGAACCTTAAGGAACAACCCGGGGCTACGGGCACAATGCGACTCATCAGGGCGAAATTCCCACAGTCTACTAGACAAAAGGTCGGAGAATTAAAGGGAAGAGATGACCACTGGACGGTGGAAGAATTACTTGCAGCATTCGATCAAGTAATCGATCGTCTAGAAGTAATGGAAGACACCGATCCAACTTCCGAAATAACATCGTACACATCAACAGTACATACTCCACGCACCAGGTCCTACTCCCCTAAAAGACAACAATCCTCCAGACTTGCTAGTAGACCTACTACAATTCAACATAAAAGCAGATCCCCCATGAGGCGAGATCATAATTCAAGAGAAGTCCGGTGCATATTCTGCGTCCGTAAAGGACACAAAGCACCACATTGCAGGGAAGTCGCAACAGCCCACGCAAGAAGAACACTAACGACAGAACTTCAACTCTGTGGAAGTGCCTTAGGCAAGGCCATAGACGCTTGGACTGTGGAGCACCTCCCTGCTACAAATGTGGAGGCGGACACCATGCCGCCCTCTGCTTCAAAGAAAGTCAGTCCCAGAATTCGAGTCAATCCATTAGTCCAGTACGCAGACGTTACAGCAGCAGAGATTCCAACAACAGCCGATATTTCCATGCTTCATTGGAGGGAGAGATCAAGATCCAACTCTCTGCTCCCCAAGTCCAAGCCAACAGGATCTCCTGCAGTAACGCGAAACAGAACACGGAGAGGATCACCTCATCCGAAAGTAGAATTCAGGGACTCCAATACTACACACACATATTCCACGCCATCATACTTACATCATAATACAAATCCAGAAACAGATTACTCCACAGACGACAGTGAGACGAGATCCCATGGGTCCAAGACGACATGTTTCTGGTGAACACCACTCAGGTGCTCGAATTAAAAAAGACGGAGCCTTCACAAGAACCGCGAAAACCGCCTAGGAGCGGAACAACGCGATTCAGAAGGTCCCGTCTTATGAAAATCCAAGCGCTTACTAACAATTATAATACACAAACAAAACAACCGCTGACGGTACTACTCGACAGCGGCTCCCAGCACAGCTACATCAAGGAAAAAGTAGCCAAAGCGCTGGGGTTAAAACTCTCTACTCCAGCCGCTCCTCCGCGTCTGCCCTGAGCAGTCGACTCCCCCATCGTCTCTCCACCTGAGCCCCACTAACCTGCTGATCGATCGTGGTATTCCATCGCTGTACTAACACCCTCCGAGCCGCTGGCCACACTACGATGGAGAGACACTATTCCATGCACATCCCATCGCAAACCCTAGCTTATTCGAGGTGCGCTACGTAGGGCTTGGGCCCTTAGAACACCGTACTGGAGAGTTCGTATTCTGCCGGTCTGAGGCCGAGATTGTCGCTTATGTGTGATTATATGGCCCGATCACTACTCACGAGGGATTATAGTTCACGGAGCCACATATCTCTCTCGCCCGAGCAGGTTCGCCGTCATTAACATGTTACTAACCTCTTTTAATACATTGTTGGAGTTTCTTTCCTACATAAACTTAATTAACAATGAGTCTGTCAGTGTGTGGTAGAATAATACATGACAATATGCCTCCTCACGTTGACTCAGGACGAATGTAGGAGTTTAGGTTAGTCCAAGTGACGCAGGGACCGGGAGGGCGCGTCACATCCCAGGGTCTGAGTAGTCCAGGGAGGAGATATAACCCCCCGTGGAGGGGAATTCATGCCCAGAGGCCTCGGGCGGACCCCTCCACGCGCCGTCCGGGCGTCGGGCAACCCCGATTCGGCAACATGGTGAATGGCCGTTGCAATCGGACCCGTTCACCTATCGTTGATCGATCATCGATAGGTGTGGAAAAACGGCCCTACACCCCGTCCCGCGCCCGAGACGGCGTCCTCCCCATATTAATACATTGGACCGAAACTACTCCACGATACACAGTGGTAGGTACTACACATCAACTAGGGTGCTAAGTATCCTTAGCTTTCTCGGATACCATAGTCGGTCTAGACTGTGGCAACTGGCCAACTTAGTATCACGCGCAGGGAAGCTAAGGATGCATACTACCGGTAACTTGGCTAGTGAGCTTGTAGAAACCGATAGCGAATGAGCCTGCGCCTTAAAGTGGAGCTGAGGAGCTACGCCTGCACTGCCATTGGAGGCGGGCAGTGTAGGTGGATCGCAGTCCTGAGCGCGTAGAGGTACGCGCGTAAGGTGAGCGGCTTGAGTTGCAACCGTCACTAGAGTTAGTCCCAAAGTTGGGCGCACTAGGGAGAGGCCTCTCAACCCTACTACTATGCGGGTTGGCCACCCGATGAAGGTAGCATTAGGGTAGGTGTTAAAAGAGAGTAGGAGAGGCACGGCTTACGGCCACTACATCTCGCCGGAGTGGGTTCGCTTGCTCGACGACGGCTTAACGCTTTATTGGAAAAGCGTTAACTATAGCCGTTGGGAAGACACCCTTCCCCCCTAGAGGTGACTACAAGCAAGTTAGTCCAACCACGTATGCGATAGTTCAATCCCACTGTGTGAGAACATCAAGGAGCCACACAAACCAATGTAATACAACACTACTACAGCCTGGAAACAGGAAAAACTTCCGCGACCCGGTTGGGCAGAATAAGAAAGAGGAAAAACAACCTGAGACACAACGGATCAGAAGTAGGCATTTGCGCCACAAAACTATCCACAATACCACCACACTGACAGCTACTCTCTACTACAGCGGAACTATCCGCAACGTTTGCAATAACACTACTCCATCAGAACTTCTTCACATACATATTTGTAACCGCCTCGTAAGCGAAGGTTGAGTGCACTTCAGTTCTAACACATTTTCATTTTCATTATTCCATTTACTAAAATACATAGTACCAGATTACTTGCACGATTTACAACAACTCGTATCGTCGTTGCGCGTAATCGCTTACGCTCCATTAGCCACGCCATTGCACTAGTCCTTTCAGGTTATTCCCCGAATTTGGGATTCAGATAGCGAAATATCTGTGCAATCATGGATCCATGTGTCCATATTAAAGGTCAGCTCACAAAAGCCGTCAACGTCTTAAAGACCAAGATCTCTTCGGCTGAACAGGCAATGGCCGACGACTACGTCAACGATACGAAGTACGGACAAGACCTCACGATTATTCGAAAAGAAAAAGAAGGGAGGTACTTGAGTCGACCATAGCCGTAATTCATTCGATGGATAACCTGAAAGACAAATGGCGTCGTGCTGAGGAACACGTGAGCAAAGCCAACGAAGACGAGACACAATTTGCCTTACTCCAGCAATTAGCGATCACTGGGAGAACATCGAAGCAGACAATGTAAAGGGAAAAACGCTAGTAAGGTCACTAGAAAAACTACTACAAGACCTAGAACGCGTTCCCCCACGTCGCCCAGGGATCGACATTAATACAGGTAATACAACCTCATCACAGAACAATATGTTCACATACCCAAACTAGAGCTCCCGATTTCTATGGAGAACCTAGCGCATTCCCCGAGTTCTGGGAACTTTATCTAGCCGCAATTCATAATAATACAAGCGTGCCAACGCGCGATGAAGTTCCCTGCATCTCAAAAGCAAACTAAAAGGAAGAGCTAGAGACATCATCGCGTCCATAGAGTTGTCCGCCGACAACTATCAGGAAGCCATAAATCTATTACATAATACATACAACCGCCCAGATGTCCTCCGCAATAAACTCTTTGAACAACTTGAGGCCATTGCTCCAGCAAACGAAACGCCCCTTGCCCAACGTACTACATTGTGCAAGATAAAGTCCCTTTGGCTTCAACTTAAGAACCTTAAGGAACAACCCGGGGCTACGGGCACAATGCGACTCATCAGGGCGAAATTCCCACAGTCTACTAGACAAAAGGTCGGAAATTAAAGGGAAGAGATGACCACTGGACGGTGGAAGAATTACTTGCAGCATTCGATCAAGTAATCGATCGTCTAGAAGTAATGGAAGACACCGATCCAACTTCCGAAATAACATCGTACACATCAACAGTACATACTCCACGCACCAGGTCCTATTCCCCTAAGGCAGCAATTCTCCAGACTTGCTAGTAGACCTACTACAATTCAACACAAAAGCAGATCTCCCATGAGGCAGATCATAATTCAAAAGAAGTCCCGGTGCATATTCTGTGTCCGCAAAGGACAAAGCACCACATTGCAGGGAAGTCGAACAGCCCACGCAAGAAGAACACTAACGACAGAACTTCAACTCTGTTGAAGTGCCTTAGGCAAGGCCATAGACGCTTGACTGTGGAGCACCTCCCTGCTACAAATGTGGAGGCGGACACCATGCCGCCCTCTGCTTCAAAGAAAGTCAGTCCCAGAATTCGAGTCAATCCATTAGTCCAGTACGCAGACGTTACAGCAGCAGAGATTCCAACAACAGCCGATTTCCATGTATCATTGGAGGGAGAGATCAAGATCCAACTCTCGCTCCCCAAGTCCCAGCCAACAGGATCTCCTGCAGTAACGCGAAACAGAACACGGAGAGGATCACCTCATCGAAAGTAGAATTCAGGGACTCCAATACTACACACACATATTCCACGCCATCATACTTACATCATAATACAAATCCAGAAACAGATTACTCCACAGACCGACAGTGGAGACGAGATCCATGGGTCCCAAGACGACATGTTTCTGGTGAACACCACTCAGGTGCTCGAATTAAAAAGAACAGAGCCTTCACAAGAACCGCGAAAACCCGCTAGGAGCGGAACAACGCGATTAGAAGTCCCGTCTTATGATAATCCAAGCGCTTACTAACAATTATAATACACAAACAAAACAACCGCTGACGGTACTACTCGACAGCGGCTCCACAGCACAGCTACATCAGGGAAACCCGCAATACACATCAGATTCAAAGAGGACTCAAAGAGAAACGAATGAAAACTATGTCCTTTTATTTCGCGAGACCCCCTTTTTTTTCTCATAAATTGCCATCTCATCGATACGCTTTCAATACATGTTACGGTCGTGATTTTTGATACTCATTACTTCATAATACACAACGGTCTAAAAGCCGTGATTCATGGAAAACTTCATCACGACAATAACATCACTATTTCATGTAGTTTATTTATTTCATGCTTAGCCTCTTCTGGCTAAGTATTTTAATCCATTTTTTGCATCCAAAAATCTCATACTCCATGTTACTCCGTTTCAAGATGTGAGCGTTCTGCAAAAACATAAACGCTCCATCAGTACCTACGGGTACTTTTTCACGGGTTTCCCCACTCTTCTACGGGTAATCTTCTTTACTAATTCTCACACATTTTTACGGGTAATTTCCATTCAACTAATCTACATACATCAATACGGGTAAAATCTCTAACTAGTCCAACCTTACGGGTAAAACCCTTTTTGTGATCTCATAAAAAAGATCTCAGAATCTCGTCTAACCCCATGTGATAACCAGTCCTTGCTCCCTTCTCCATTACTAACCACGCACAACCTCTTCATTTTCACTCCATGTCATACTTCCCTTGTTTTCCTCTTCTTCTTTAATAATACAACTATGACTCTAACACAGACACCTTATAATACAGTACCCAAAAATACGCTTACCATAATCCATACTACCTCACGCTCTTATAGAAGTTCCGCTTTAATCTGGAGCTCGATGAGGTCGAGGATTTGCGCGAAGAAGCCGAATGTAATCCAGGCAAGAACCGCAGCGCTGCAGGTACTAAGAAGTCAAAGCTATTACAATAAACTAGAACGATAATACAATAGAGAATAAGGTGTTCTGTATTACAGGCAGACGTCCGCATAGTCCAGAACCCAGTGAGCCGGAGGCCCCCCTTAATACAAAGACATACTTCAGCTACCCATACAAACTGGAAAAAAGGTTTCCCAGGCGAAAGCTGCGCGACTGCACATTCAGGAGGGACCCGTGCATTTTTTGCTCGGATCAATATCATTTTAGTTCAGACTGTCCCGAAGTCCCCGAACTCAGCAAAAGACAGTCGTTCCTCCGCCACAACAACCGGTGCAGCAATTGCCTGAAAAAGCATTGGGCAGAATGCATCCGCGCCGACCCCTGCAGTCTTTGCGGTGTATGGGGGCACCACCGCACTATATGCTTCTTTAATCCATGGCTCATAAAGGACGTCGACGATCTGCCCGGAGACTTCTACGAGCGGCTTCTCGTCCGCACATACGTAGACCCCCCTCCAGGCGCTCCAGTTCGCCGCCCGTATGCTCGCCCCTATAAGGAGCGACATTTCATGTGGAGGCCCCCGAGAACCGCTAGTCCAGAGCCCAAGGTCGCACCACCTCTGCCAAAAGAACAGAGCAGTGAAAGCGATGACGATTGGTGAGCAACCAAGGTAAGGGCGCTAGTCCAGTCTATTCCAATATTACAGGGCTTCTGTTGAAGCCACTAATACAGAGATCTGCACTTTCATTCTCTCATGTTATTAACTTTTTCACACCTTACTAATTTAGAGCTCTATAATTCACGTGGCGGCAGACTTCACCAATAGGCGGCTTCAGCATCGCTTCAGTGCCTTCAATGGAGCTGCGTAGCATAGTGTAGATTTTGTAGTTATGTGAATTTAGTTCATTCACAATTTGAAGATTTATTAGCATTGCTACTAACTTTACCTCTACTTCACAATCACATTTGGCTCAAGAAGATTTATGATGCTCCGTCGAGAGAGATGCGTTCGCTCGCCACACTTTTCGCCAATGCCCCGCGGGTTCAAAGCAGAAACCAGCACTACGCCTCCCCTGAGGCTTACGCCCAAGCGAGTTCTTTTGGGGCGGGAGTGTCGCGAATCGCGAGGATCGCTCCCGAGGGTCCTCCCGGGTGTGCTTGCGCCTACCGTAGTCCAGCCACCTTGACCCCTACCAGTTGATCTCCGCGTCGATCGCGCGGGAAACCGCGGCCACTATCGGTGGCTCCGACGCTTCTAGTTCATTCTATTCCGTTCTGCTACTTTTTTTTGTTCACTACTCCAAGCCTGCTCTCCGGCGCTCATGCCTGACAGTCGACTCCCCTTTCGTCTCTCCACTGAGCCCCGACTAACCTGCTGATCAGATCGCGGTATTCGCATCGCCTGTACTAACACCCTCCGCAGCCGCTGGCCACCCTACGATGGGAGCAGACACTTATTCCATGCACTCATCGCAAACCCTAGCTTTATTTTCGACCCGGTGGCGCCCTCGTACGGCTTTGAGCGGCGCCCTGAGAACACCGTACTCGGAAAGTTTCTATTTCCGCCTGGTCTGAGGCGAGATTGTCGCCTTTATGTGGCATGCTGACTTATGGCCCATACACTACTCACGAGGGATTATAGTTCACGGAGCCACAGTATACTCTCTCGCCGGACAGCGTTCGCCGCTTCATTAGATGTTTACTAAACCTCTTTTAATACATTGTTGGAGTTTCTTTCCTACCATAAACGTAATTAAACAATGAGTCGTCAGTGTGTTGGTAGAATAATACTATGAATATGCCTCCTCACGTTAGACTCCAGACGAACGTCAGGATTTAGTAGTCCAAGTGACGCAGGGGACCGGGGAGCGGCGTCACAATCCCAGGCGTCTGTGAGTACGTCCACGGAGGAGATATCCCCGTGGAGGGGAATTCATGCCCAGCCAGCGTCCTCGGGCGGACCCGGCGTTCCGGCGCGCCGTCCCGCGGCGTCGGGCAAACCCCGATTCCGCCCAAAGAAAAGGGGGTCTCGCGAAATAAAAGGACATATGTTTCCAGTTGCGTTTTCTCTTTGAGTCCTCTTTGAAATCTGATGTGTATTGGCGGGTGTGTTGTACGATTGCCGTCCGTACTTGCGCATGGGATTGCGGCGTTGTACTAGTATCAACTACATTGTATTTATAAATACCGTTTAATGTTGATTCATGAGAAGGACTTCCCTCTGGAGTACTAATACCGATTATTCGTACGAAGACGACTGGGATTAGTACTTCCCGACGTTGTTAATAGAGAAGTAAATGAAAATGTAATAGTATGAAGTCTTACGTCCATTATTTCTGGCCGAAGCGAAGACGGATCTTTTGGCAGCCGATCTTCTTAAAAAAATTTAAGCCGGCGCAGAACTAAAATAGAGAATGTGGTAAGTTAGTGAATTGATTACGCGGGAGGCGACCGAACGGTAGCGACTGTAATAAATGAGGGAATGCTGGCAGTGTATTATAAGTATTGGGTAGTCGTGGTGCCGAGTCGAATCTTATTCTAATGAACTAAGCTGATGAAAGTAGTGCACGAATAATGGGGTCATTAGAAAAGCCGTGTTAATTAATATACTGAAATTATAGAGAAAGTGAAAATGTGGCGCAGCATGCCCCGCCCCCCCGCCCGCCTCTGGATAGGAGATTGTTCAGTAAAATGATATTTTAACGATTTTACAATAAGATCGCTTGCTTTCGTGCGCTATTATAGTGCACAGGTTAGTGCTGTAAAGGTGCAGTTGATGTTACAATCGAGCAATGAAGTAAAAGCTCTTGTATTATGGCCATGAAACTGAAATAGGTATTTGGCGAGTGAAACAAATCAAACGCGTAAGTCGAACAGATTGAAAACATTGCGATTGGCGCAGAGAGCGTAACGGATTGTTATGCCAAAATGAGAATTTACGCATTTCCGTAATGAGTGCGCGCGCGCATTCCGCCGCCTTATATAGTGCTTCACGTGAGCGATGTAGTAAATAATTAGTCGTGGAATGCCCCTTGTAGTATACTATAAAACTAAAGCATGAATGTGCTTGGCAGTAAAGGAACCGAAAGATGGAATTGAATGGATTAGAAATGTCGCGAATTGCGTGCGGCCAAACCGGGGCTTGTAGGCCGAAAATGGAGAATTATACGATTTCGTAATAGTACTCGCCTTGCCTCTATTGGGCCTGTGAGTCGATATGGTCAATCGTATTAATTGACACTACCACTTGAATCATATTTAGAGTATCTATAAATGTATTATGAATGGGATTAATGTGCTTATGCAATTAACAGCGCGCCTTCGACACGTTAATTTCGCTGACTTATGTTGAAATTTAGTTCAACGGTCTAGCTGTATAGTAACGGGGTGGTTTTGTTTTCATCGATTTGCCTTTCGCTTGGCGGTTGTACGCGGTGTGTGGTGAAGGCTTCTTTCTTTTTTGCATTAAACGATGGGACTCTGGGTCATCAGCTGATACTTCAAGGTGCGGATCAAAGTGGGATCAGCTGATTCAGTGAACGTTTGAGGATGCTTCCGCTTCCTGTTTTAACGTCACTGACCTAGGTAGGTTGTCTGCTGAACGGTTTATCTCCACTATGATTGCAAGTGGCCAGTTGGTTCTTGATGAATTAGCTTGTTTGATTAGTACAATGTCCCCTACTCGTGTAGGGCTTTTCGCGCCCTGTTTCGGAGGTGTATTATTGAGACTCCTTTCTGCTAGAGTCTGAAGGTATTCTTTGTGCCAACTGTCCCAAAACCGTTCGAGTGAGTCTCGTAGTACAGTGTAATACATGATGAGGTTTTCGTGCGAGTCTGAATTAGG